CCCTTCAATCAAAGGGGGGGTGCTGGTGCACCCCCAGTTCCAGCACCTAGGGTGGCCGGGGTGGGGGGTGTGTGGATGGGGAAAAAAAAAGTTTGTGTGCGGAGTCTCCCACCCTGCCTGGGTCCTGGGGGTGTCTCCAGCCGGGGTCCTGGCTGTTGGAAGCAAAGTGATTATTTTGGGGGGGGGGATAGCATTGCCCCCCTCCTTTGTTTTGTAGCATTGGTGTTAAAATCGCAGTGGGGGGGGGGGGCGGCGGGGGGGCGGCCCCCTTCGGGTCCGTCCCGCCCCCCGGGTTGCGGGGGGGGTGTTTTGTGCTCCTGGCACACGCCAGCCCAGCTCCGGGTTTCCCAGCCAGCAGCCCCGCTCCCCACGCGCCTGGCTGGCCGGGCTCGGGTCTTTCCCACGCCAAGCGCCGCGTGTGGTTGCCCCAAACTCGGTCATTTTTAGCAGGGCTGTTTGCGCGGTACATTCTGTCCTCGGCTTCGGAGCCTGGGCAGGGCCGCTTCCTCCCCCCCCTTTCTGGGACCAGTTTTGGGCTGGTAACCAGGCGACTGGAGCCTTTTGTCCAAGGGGCTTTGTTCTTGCTCTTGCAAACGGGGTGACCCCCCCCCCCCAAACCTCCAACCCGTCCCGAGTTTGCGCAGGGCTTCCCTGGGGCTGGAAGGGGTCAGCTGGCAGGGAAAGTTTGCCTTGGCTGCGGGGCTCTGTGCATTCCTTGCATAATGAGACGATTGTTTTCCACCGCCGAGCAGAAATATGCTCCGGAGGAGCCAAGCGCGCCCTGGCAGGAGAGCCAGCGAGTCTTTAAAGACTCAAACAAGCCTCATTTGTTGTTTGTGTGGCATGGAGCCTTGGCCCAGGAGCCCCTTCCGTGCTAGGCGCTGGACAAACCCAACACTCGGCCCCTGCCCTGCCCCAAAGAGGTGATAGGTGGAGACAGACACATGGGGGAGCAGGGGGAAATAATGAGACAATAAGGAGGGAAGATCATTGCTATGATTTCAAGAGGGGGGAGAAAACCACTTTATAAAGGGTGGGGGGGGGGGACCCAAGTCTTGGTTAGACCTTTTCAGTGCTCTGCAGTGGGACTCAGGGGGCCTGGGTTTTGTGCCTGGCTCTGCTGGGTGAACTTGAGCTGGTCGCTTCCCTGTTCTGTGCCTCAGTTTCCCTGTTCTGTGCCTCAGAGGTAAAATGGCGGTGATTATACTGACAGACTTTGAGAGGGTTTTGAGAGCTACTCATGGAAAGAGCTAGGGAGTATGCGCTCTGTCCTGGTACCTATCAGTTAGGACGAGGCGGTTCCCTATCTCGCTGAAGATCTAGGTTCGATCCCCATCGTATCTGACTGAGCACATCATGGATTTACCCTCACAGCCCCCTGTCAGGCAGGGCGGTTATCCCAAGGGGGAAACAGAGGCACGGAGAGGCCAAGTGACTTGCCCAAGTCTGTGGCACCGCAGGAAATTCAACCCTAGGAGCTAAACTTCCTAACCCTGCTTCCTCCCATCTGTTGCTCAGTGCTTTAAATAAGTTTTTTGCCACTCCTCTTTGGACTCTCTTCCATTAGCCCTCATGGTTGGGAAATTTAGCAATTTGCTGCCAGCTGTTCTCCCCACCCCAGGGAGAACCTCGCATGGAATGAATAGCTTGCTGACCCCTAACATTTTGGTCCGTGCTTGGGGGATGTCTCACCCTGCTGTCATGGCATAGCTGGGGGCTGACAGGGCACTGAGCCTCCCATATGCTCAGTGGCGTCACAAACCAGTTACTCAGGGCTGCTCTTACGCAGTTTTTGTAGCACTTTACGCAAGACCTGCCATGCTGGGTCAGGCCAAAGGTCCATCTAGCCCAGTATCCTGTCTTCCGACAGTGGCTGGTGCCAGGTGCTTCAGAGGGAATGAACAGAACAGGGCAATTAGTGAGTGATCCATCCCCTGTCATCCAGTCCCAGCTTGTGGTAGTCAGAGATTTAGGGACACCCAGAGCGTGGGGTTGCGTCCCTCACCAATGGCTAATAGCTATTGATGTACATAGCCTCCATGAACGTATCTAATTCTTAACTTTAACCAAAGCTGTTTGCAATGGCTATAATTAACGCAGTACAACCCCTAGTAAGGATGCAGTTATTCTATAAAGGTGTCTCTGTCAATGTAGCCGAATAAGCTATGCTGGTATAAAACCCCTTTACGCTGGTATTACGTTACTATTGTCATGTAAATAATAACATGCAGGCTGCAGCATTGGAGAAATGCAGCCACTTCAGGGGTGGAGGTTGATAGCCAACAGCCAAGGGGGAAGGTGGGATCTGGTCCAAGGACACTGAAAAAATGTTGTTAAAAAGTCAGATTTAAAAAAAAAAAGGCAGGAGAGAAGCGATCCGAGTCCTCCATTCGCCTGGCTAGGGCGCAATACAGGAATATCCAGACTGCTTTGTGCTGCAGCATATCCCAGGGAAGGGAGCTTGGAGGTAGGTTTGCCTGGATTAGATTTTTGCTAGTAAATGTTGATGAGCGCCAATTTCCCCGTGCGCACGTGCCACCCAACGAAAAAATCTTTCCATCGCTGATAATCGACATGGACAGCTAAGCAAAGTAAGAACAACGTTGCTTGAGTGTTTATTAGCGTGATTTTAAGGCTGTTTACGTTGCATATTCTGAGATGTGCTGTTGACAATTTGTTTTTTTTTTTAGTGGCGATAAAGCTTTAACTTTTTGGGGTCTTAGCCCCTAATGTCATTAAACAATTACTGCCTGACCCCCCCCCACATTGTCTGAGCCACATAATTTCGCACACCTGTGAAAAATTATTTAAAAAATTTGAATTCTGCAAAGAGGTTCTGGGAACAAGGTGTGTGTGCCTGTTCTGTGTGTTGAGCTGCAGGCATTAACGGAGGGGTTGCAGCAGATCTGTTTGCCTCAGGCTGGTTCTTAGCAGCCAGGTGGCCAGGCGTGAAAATGCCAGTCGGCACTGACTGTCCTCTCTTTCTGGCAGCCTCAGAAGTGAGGTCAGACTAGATGATCCGGCCTTGCAAGCTACCAATGGGCAGTGAAGACAAAACTCCCCTCTCTGCCCTATAGGGGATCTCTCCAGAATAGGGCTGAGTTGGGTGGGAGTGCATCTGGGTGCCCACCAAACTTCCTCAGAGATTGCCAAGGTCCTAGGGGCTGTCATCTTGTCCCTTTCACCAGCTCTAAGATCCCTGGGGCTGAGAGTGGTAAACGTTTCTGGATTATACATTTGCAGTGACTTTGACTTGCGCTGTTTTGGGCCCAGAAGGTTGTTTACAGCTGCAAGGAGGTTTCCGGCTCGCTATCTGATCGGGTAGAGGAAGGTATACTGCAGCAGTTCCACTTCATTTGCTCTCTCTCTGCTTAACAAAAATGCCAGATAACCTTCAGTTGTGGTTTAGGTTTCAGGCAGTTATGTTCCGGCTAATCTTTCCTCTATGTAGCTGTTCCCTGGTAGCGTGGCACTCAGATCTTACCCTGCGCCCTCGGCTGGCATTAGCCCGCTGCCCTCAGATGGCACGAGTGGTCAGGAGACTTTGGCTTGCTGGGGCGTAGCCAAACCAGCATAGCAATGTGGCTAGCTGAGAAATCATAGCGTTCAGAAGGGACGGACCACTGTGACCATCTAGTCCAGCCTCCCGTAACACCGGCCAGAGAACTTGCCCAGAATAATTCCTCGGCCAGAACTTTTAGAAAAACACCCCACCCTGATTTAAAAACTGTCAGCGATGGTGCCAGGACTCCTGGGTTCTATTCCCAGCTCTGGGAGAGGAGTGTGGTTTAATAGGATGTGTGGATCTATTCCCAGCTCTGTTGTGTGACGTTGGGCAAAATCATTTAAATCTCATTGTGCCTCAGTTTCCCCATTGGTAAACTGAACTAGAAAGGCGACGTGATGTACCCAAGGCCCCAGAAGGGAGTCAGGGTTGGAGATGGGACTAGAACCCAGGAATCCTGGGTCCTAGTCCTGTGCTCAGGCCACCCCCCCACCCAAAAGCATCAGATTTTAAAAATATTATTGCCTGGGGCCCATTTAAACAACCACCACCACTGAACAGCCACTCATGAACTGGGGCACAGGGAGGGGAAGTGATTTGCCCAAGGTCACCCAGCAGACTAGTGGCCAAGTGGGAAATATCCCCCCCCAGCTCTCCTGGGCCTCAGTCCACTGCACTATCCACTAGACCACGCTATCTCTCATGCATGCCATCACCGTCCTGCCATATGATTGTAAATGGAAGGGGGCGGAGTTTCCAGGTAAGAGCCACTGCTTGTAGATCCCAGTGTGGCTAACCCCAAGCATTCAAACAAATAAAAATCACAAGCCCTGTCCCAAAATAATCATGAGATTGGCTTAAAAATCAGGAGATTTTAAACAAATGTTTGGTTCCTTGTTTTTTGCCTCCTGGTTTCAAACCCTTTAGAGGTCGTGTTTTGTCGCTTTTTTTTTTTTCCTGCAACCACCAGGCCAGGAAACTTCCTTTCATTCAAAAATAAAAGCTGAGATGCTGCGGACTCCAGGGAGTTAGGGCTTTCAGAAATATACCCCAGAGGCCGGCCACTCTGAGATCCTTGCGACTGGCTGAGGCTCATGCTGTTGGAGGGGATGGGGTCAGAAGTCAGGACTGCAGAGGGGAAGAAATAATTAACGAGCGGATCGGGTTAAACATTATTTGCTTTGCAGCGCTCTAGTTCGGGCCCCATTATATGGACATAGGCTAAAGAGACAGCCCCTGCCCCAGAGACCCTGAAAGGTGCCGTCTGGTTCTCTAATGTCTGTGCATTAGCCCACAGGAAGGAAAGGGTTACATCCAGTTAACAGCAACCTGTTCTTTCTTTACAGCTGAGAGGTCCAAAGTCCTCTGACATGAACAGCAAGAGAAACAGAAACGGCCAGGCTTTCCCGTGTATCCCAGGTATCCCCGCCGGCTACGCGGGAGCAGGTGGCTTGTGTTTTGAACCCCTGGTTGGGTTTCCTTGGAGCTTTCGCTCTGTTTCTAAGAATAATCCCTAGCTCCAATTTAGCGCTTTCTAGCTGCGGATCTCAAAGTCGCTCAGTATCACAATCCCCATTTGATAGGTGGGGACACTGAGGCACAGAGCAGGGCAGTGACTTGCCCTAGGTCACACAGCAGAGCCGGGTATAGAACCCAGGTGTCCGGAGTCGTCGCACGGTGCTCTAGCCACTAGACTGTGCTGCTGCCGAGCACCGGAAAGGACCGGCAGCAGTGGTGTCTCTTCCCTGTTCCTTAGCTGCACAGAGGCGGGCACAGCTGGGCAAGGCTCGGCTCCCCACTGGCCTGTGCATGTGACACGCTGGTGACCAGACCTCCTGTGAGCACCCTGGGAGGGGGGGAGGGGGATGGGGAGACGTGACTGTGATGAGGTGTCCCCCCGAAGGCTCAGAATCTGTCCCTGGATGTCACAGAATCACAGAACTGTTGGGCTGGAAGGGCCCGCGACAAGCCCCCTGCGCTGTGGCAGGACCAAGTGAACCTAGAACAGAGCAGACTAGACCTAGAGTCCCCACAGACTCTAGTCACACGCTGCTCACCTGTGCCTGGCAGGTGGAGGGTCCAACAGTTGCTGGATCTGCTGTCGGCCCAGGCTCCCCCAGGGGGGTGGGGTGCCAGGACTCCTGGGTTCGCTCCCTGGCTCTGGGAGGGAGGCAGGACTCCTGGAGTACAATGATTGGAGAGTAGAGAAGAAGGATGGTCCACAGGCTTGGACACTAACTGAGAACTGAGTTCAAATCACTGCTGTGCCACAGATGCCCTGTATGACCTTGGGCAAGGCCCTTGGCCTCCCCGTGGCCTCAGTTTGCCACCTGGACAATCAGGATAACAGCACTGCCCTGCCTCCCTGGGGGTGTGCACGAGGGCTAATACATTGAAGGACGAGTGCTTGGATACTATGAAGCTTTAGTAGTACTTTTATAAAAATCACTAAGCTGGGCCCGATCCGGATCCCCTTCCTCCTTAAGAGCCTTTTACTCATGCTCTGTGTTAGAGGCATGAAGGGTTAAATCGGGGCTCCGAGCAGCAGCTGTCTGAAGGCATTTTCTGGCTAGGATGACAAGCTGCAGGCAGTGGCCAGAGCAGATGCTTTGTAGCTGTTCTTTGCTAGTCACGAATTCAGCAAAGGCACCTGTTACCCGGGCACTTCCCTTTCATGCCCAGCGTGAGCAGCAGGGCCCGTGTTCCCCAGGCCTGGCCTGGGGGAACTCGAGTGGGAGCGGATCCATTGTTTGGCTTTTCATTTCCCCCCCCCCGCCACACTCCTGGTGTGGACCATCCCATCCCCCGCTATTTCAGGGCTTCACTGCAACCTCGGCCAGGGGCTCTGTGTGCCTCCCCCCTTCCTCTCCCTGCCCCATGCCGGGAGCTCTGTGTGCCCACCTTCCCCACATGCAAGGATCCTTGGTCAAGAGAAAACAGCCCCTCCCCACCCCCGTTGTGAAACCCCCTAGCCCAGGGCTAGCTGTTCTGAGCACGGCCTCCATTTTTCCCCGTGGAGGCGTTCTGTGGGGCAAACCCCCTTCCCCGCAGCTCTGCTTGTCATCGCTTGTGGGTACGATTTGCTGCCTGATCTGGGGCCTGCTTCGCAGCAGCGCTGAGCCCCGGCCGCTCCAACTGCAGCCCCCTGAGGATCAGGCCTTCGGACCTAGACACCGAAAGTTACGCCGGCTTATAGCTGTGGGCGCAAAGCCCACCTGGTCTGGTTACAGCTGGGCTGCATGTCCCGTCCTGAAAGGTCCAGATTCTCCTCTGGGGTAAATCCACCTGGTCCCGCTGCAGCCCACAGAGCTCCATCAGTTTACGCCAGGGAAGGATCTGGCCCCTCGGTGTGCTTTTCACCCCTGTGGCATTGCACGCCCCTAGCCCAGTCTCTCGCACGGCTCAGCGTCACTCCCCAGCCAGCCCTGGGCTCCTTCCTCTGGCCCCCTCCTTTCCAGCACCCCGAGGAGCCGGTTTCACTGGTCGTTCCAAACCACGGCGTTCTCCCAGCTCGCCCTGACCCCTTCCTCTTGCCCCCCACCCTGCAGGGGAACATGTCCTGGAAGAGGCAGCTCGCGTGAGGAAGATCGTCCGCTCCAGGGATGGCGAAGGATCCATCCTGGGCACGTTGTACTGCACCAACCTGAGAGTCGCCTTCGTGCCAGAGCCGGCCCCGGGTGACACGGTGGGGGTGAGTTGGAGGAGGCCTGGTGGGAGCCGGGACGGTGTCGTCGTCGGCTGGGCAATGGGGGTGGGGGGGCCTGGTGGGAGCCGGGATGGTGCTGTTGGCAGCCGGCCAACGGGGGTGGGGGGGCCTGGCGGGAACTGGGACGGTGTCGTCGTTGGCCGGGCAACGGAGGTGAGGGGGCCTGGCGGGAGCTGGGATGGTGCTGTCGGCAGCCGGGCAACGGGGGTTGGGGGGGCTGGCTGGGGCCGGGACGGTGCCGGCGGCCACTTAAATTGCAGCCCTGACACTCTCTGGCAGACACCATCCTCCTGGCCCGCCGTAGCCCCTTGGCCGTGGTGGGTCCCCTGTGCCAGCCAGGAGGCAGGTTCGGCAAGTGGGGATGTTCCTTCCCCGTGCCGGGGGCGGGGGAATGGGCCTGATCTCTAAGCGCTGCTCCTTTCCCGCCGTAGGCCCCTCGCTGTTCCACTTGCCTGCACAGTGAGCACGACGTGGCCCTGCCCTGCATCGGGAGGCTGGTGGCAGGTAAAGGGGGGGCAGGAGGGGTCCACCTAATCAAGCCGTATCCCCTCCGCCGCTGTGACGAGTTTGGCGGCTCTCAGCCCGTGTGGCTCACTGCCTCCATCCCAGCATCCGCCCCCCTGGCTGGTGCTGTGAGCCCCTCGTGGGTCGTCCCAGTGGCAGAGAGGCCAAGGCTGGCCTGTGGCGACCCATCTGTCCCCTTACCGCGGGCAGGGCTGGGGCCGTTCTGCCTTGGTGGGGGGTGGCGCAGGAAGACTTGCCCTTGCTGTAGTTTGCAGGGCCACTCTTGGAGTGAGCCGTGTGCTCTCCCCCTGGGCTTCCCCCTCACCAGGGCAATCCTGATAGGCCGTTGCCAGCTCCACCCCGCACCAGGAGTGATCTCCATGCAGTTGGCTTGGGGGCCGATCCTGCCCCGGTCGCCCCCACACTGGAGGCTGAGTCTTCCCAGCTGCCCCAAGACTCTGATTGTTGCCTGGCCTCCTGGGTCTAAGCCCCCTTCCTCCACCTGGTTTTCCCCCGCAGTGAACAGCTTCACCAAGGCCAAGGTGCTGACCGCCAACTCTACCCTCAAGTTCATCCCGGAGGAGCTGGTCCTCTACTGCCGGGACTTCCGGGTGCTGCGTTTCCGCTTCCGCGACAGCGGCTTGGAGCCCCGGGCCTGTCAGGTGAGCAGCTGCCATTGCAGACAGGGGCACCCTCCCCGGCCGGTGATTCCCAGGGCCCAGCGGCTCAGGGCTTCGGGACCCTTGGATACGGATGGGCACCTCCAGTGGACTGGCTCTGAGCTGGACCCGCTTGGGACTCAGGGGCTGGGCACAGCGGGGGTTGTTGCTCTGTGTGTCGCCTGAGTGGGAGGATGGGACCCTCAGGGGGTTGTTTGACCCCTCTGTGTGGGGTCTGGTGGATTAACACGGGACTAGGAGCCAGGAATTCTGGGTTCAGTTCCTAGCGCCAGGAGGGGAGTGGGATGAAGTTGTTTGGGGGGAGGCTGACTCCGGGCAGGGATGTCCACACTGCTCAGCACAGGTAGGCAGACTCCTGCTAGCCCCGGGAGCGGCACCGCCCAGTTGCAGGACAGATGCAGCCTGTGTGACCTGGAGCAAGATGCTTCGGTTTCTTCCCTCTTTCCCGAGGTCCCTTTCCTCAGGAATCTACCTCCCACAGGGGGTCAGAGCCGCAGAACCCTGGGCAAGGCAAACCCCACCCTTCCCTCCCCGACCCCGTCTAGCGATCCTCTGATGCCCTGATACACCCAGCGTCCCCAGCTCTCGTCTCTGCCCTAGCTGGGACCCACCAGCAGCTCTTCTCAGCCTGATCCCAGCTCCCATTGTCAGCTCGGCGCCTTTGAAAACCCAGCCTGTCATGCCCTGCCCTGGAGAGAAGCCCCGAGCGGCAACGTTCCAATTCAAAGCTTGGGGCGGGGTTTCCACTCCAGCGGGGTTGGCCGGGGTCCCGTCACACCCCTTCTGTTCGGCTGTCTGGCTCAGCGATGGGTCTGCAGCTGCAGTGACTTGCGCTGGCGATTTGTCCTGGGCTACAAATCTCCGTGGGTCAATGCTGCAAGCGCTGCCCTGCTGGGGGTCTTCCTGGATCCCCAGCCTGGCAGCATACCCTCTGCCCTCCCATTGGCACCCAAACCCTGCCCACAGCCCCAGATGCCGTGAAGATCCCCTGCCAAGGTGCCCTCATTGCTGCTGTTTTCCAGGTGACGCTGGCCATTGTGCAGGCTCAGGAGAGCAGCAGCGCCAGCGCGGGGACGTGGTACGACAGTGGCGCTATAAGGAACCTGGGTAAGTGGCATCTCCGCTTGGCGTGCAGCTCTATCCCCCAGGCCCTGGCAGCTTGAGGGGCCCATCCCTGGGGTGGCTGGACCCACGAGGCGCTACCCTGCTCGTCCCTAACAGCCATCCCTCCTGTGCGGCTTCAGAGAACGCCTGGCTGAGCACGGAGGAGTCGTTGTCCCCCCCGACGCTGCTCTTCGAGAGGCCCTGCGACTGGGAGAAGGAGCTGAGGCGGCTCGGGGCTGCTGGCTGGAGGGTCAGCCCCGTGAATGAGCGCTTCGATATGGCCACCAGGTAAAGCGCGGCCCAGGGGTTGGGGGGTGAGTTAGATCCTCGTGGACAGCTCTAACCCCGGCCCACGGCATGGGAGCGTGTTACAGCCAGGGGCGGCGGAAGCGCCCTAAAAGTGTGTGTGTGGGGGGGCCCCACAGGTGCCTGAACTGTGGCCCCACCTCCCCATGCTGTCCTGCCCTTGCGCTGCCAATTCCTCCCCAAGGCCCCGCCCCTTCCCTCAAGGCCCCGCCCCATGCTCGCTCTTCTCCACCCCTCCCCCGTCATTCGCCCTTACGGCTGGTAAAAAGTGGGAGGGCCCTGCCCCGCCCTGTTCCGGTGCCTGTGGTCACAGTACCTCCGGGTGCACTCCAGTAATTGGGTCTCCCTAAGCTACGGAAATGCCCTCGGACCCCCTTTCTACAGCGGGTTTGGTGCTCGGCCCTCGGCTACAGTCCCAGGTCCGTATCGATGGCCCCCTACTGGATTGAGCATCCCCTCCGTGAGCATGTAGCTTCCTCGAGTGGCCAGAGAAGCGCAGTGAAAATGTTCACGATTTCAAACAGTGTTTCAGTCCCGAAGGCAAGGGTGGTTGGGGGCAAGAAGTCAAATCTCAAACGTTTCCTTGAACTGGAAAAACTTTTTTAGTTTCCTTCCAATTTCGACCCTTTGACATTTTTGATTTACTCTCATTCGCTCAAGTTTCTAAACCAAACGGGGCTTTGAACCGGAAAACTGGAATTCCTCGTCTTGCAAATATCAAAACGAAACATTTTGACAGCTTTTGGAGTTTTTCCCCCGAATGATTTTGATTCACAAAATGAGCCAAAACTAACCACCTTTCCCGCGGAAAGCTCCGGGTTTCGACAAACCGACGCTTTCTGGGGGAAAATCCTTAGCCTGTCAAATTCCCGAGAGCTGGAGGTGGAAGGCCTCTCTGGGGAGAGCTGGTGGGAGCTCTCTTCTAGCACACGTGGGAGGGACGCTGGCTGTGGGCCAGCAGACCCGGAGTTCTCTTCTCTGTCTGTGTGTGTTAATTGGGATGGATCTGGGGAAGTCTTGTGAGTTGTGGGGGTGGCAGGCACCCTGCCTACAATCCGGGATTTGGGAATGGCCTTGTAACAGGGAGATCTGCCTCCTTTAAGGGCCAGGGGCCATCCAGCCCTGTCTGAATATCAGACCTGGTGAGGAAGGGGCAGGTGATTCCTGTCAAGGTCTGAGAGTGCTCGAAGGGGGAGCTGTGGGAAGGAGGCAGGTGCCGGAGTAATGGAGTGGGAGAGGCCTCGAGGGTCCCCCATCCCGCTTTGGTTGTAAGGTTTGTGTGCAGCACCTGAACAGGCTCGGGGCGAGGCAGGAGTGCTGCCTGGGCTGGGGAGATGGGCCGGCAGCCCTCCGCACGTGCTCTGAGCCGGTTCCCCTCCAACTCCGCGTCCTCCCGCAGCCTCCCCAAGTACCTCTGGGTCCCCGGCAGGCTCCTGGACAACGAGCTCAAGAGGGCCTTCGGCCACTTCAACGCGAGGCGCGTCCCGGTGAGTGTCTCCAGCCCCGGGAGCAGGCTGTGAGCTGCCGCCTTGGGGTGGGGAGGGCGGTTCCGAACGACCTCACCAGGTTCTGGGGATGGGGCAACCACTGGGGGGTGCCGTGGGAGGGTGGGGTTCTTACTGAGGCAGGGGCTCATTTGGCCAGCAGGGTGGAATAAGGTGTGAGACCCTTTTTCCGCCCCCCCACCCACACACACACACCAGGCTGTGTTCCCTGCGGCTGGTGCCCTATGAAGCTGGCCAGCTATCCATGGGTGACTACGCCACTCCTGAACCAGCCAGGGAGGGAAGGCTGAGGAGGGAGGGTCTCCACCAGGTTGTTTGGTGGGGGTGTATCACAGAGCCAGTTAGGGGGAGGCAGGTCCCTGGAGGTGGGGGGAGAGGAGGAAGGCGGGAGACAAGGCCCCAGGGCGCGGGGCCCTGGCGTGCGCAGTGGAGAGCCTGCACCCGGTGGAGTTTCATTTCGTTCCGTTTCCCTTTGCCTCCCCAGAGGCTGTGCTGGCATCACCCGGGAGGCAGCGACCTGCTGAGAGCCGCCGGCTTTCACGCCGATTCAGACCCCGAGAAGGAAGACGTGAGGTACGAGCCTCGAGGACATGGGAATGGGGCTGCGCTGCCCCAGTCTGGGAGCTCAGGGGAGCTGGGGTGGAAGACTCCCAAGGAAAACCCAGCTGCTCTGGGGGGGCCCTCAATAGGGGGCGCTCTCCCCTTACAGTCAGTGCTGGCCCCAATGCAGCACTAAGGGGCGCTGTGCTGCAGGGAGCCGCGTGGGTGATGTAATGGGGGTGCTGTCCCCTCATAGCTGGTGCTGACCCCAAAGCCCCAGTGCGGCACTAGGGAGCGCTGTGCTGCAGGGCTCCATCACCCCAACCGAAGCAGTGATTCCACCTCCCCGGTGCTGCTGCGTTTCTCCGCAGGTCTGTGGAAGCGCTGATGCTCGCCGGCCACGCCCAGTGCGTGATAGTGGAGACCGCCGCCGACCTGCCCAGCCCTGCAGAGATCCAGCTCTCTTACCTCAAGCTTCGGGCCCTCTGCCTTCCTGGTGAGACCCAGCCTTGGCCCTGGCGCTGAGATCCCCTCTCAATAGGAGTCGCTCGCCTGAGCCGATGCCTGGGATTCCCCAGGCAGTAACTAACCAGCTCTTCAGCTGGGAGAACCTGGGTTACTCTGGATTGGATCCCACTTGGGAATCATGGGACCATTATCACCAGTTTGTATCTGATGCACCTGTGCTGGATTTCCAGTTTCCCCTCTCTTGCTCGAGGTGCTTGTCTAGCCCCACCGTTCTCCTAGTGTCTCGATGCTATGGGTTATATCCTCCCAACAGGTGGGGAGGTATTATCCCTGCTTTATAGGGGGAAAGGGAGGCCCAGGGAATTACATGATTTGCCTAGGCCGATACTGTAACCCCCAGGCTCTCTCTCCCCTCTTGGAAGCAGCTGGCTGTTTGACGCAAGGAAGCCAGGGCTCCCTAAACCAGGCCTGGCTAAAGCCAGAGCACGAGAGGCAGATAGGACTGGAGGGTCTCTTCCTTCCATGTCTCCTTCCTTGTCCTCTCTCTGGGACAATTCCTGACCTGCCACAGAAAGGGCAGCCCAAAGGAACTGAGGAGACCTGGGTTCTGTTCCCATCTCTGCCACAGACTCCGTCTGATCTGGGTCAAGTCACTTTACCTCCTCTGTGCCTCATTTCCCCTGTCTGACCGGGGATGATCGTTCGCTCCCTGCCAAGGGGGTGGTGAGGATTAAAACCCAGTAACGATAACCCGGCGTGATGCGGATGGAGGCTGGATAAACCCCTCCGCAGCCAAGGTAGTAATTTGGAGTGGCTTCCTTTCAGACTCCTCTGTGGCCGATGAGAAGTGGCTCTCTGCCCTGGAGGGGACACACTGGCTGGAGCACGTCAGGTGAGAGCTGCCCCCCTATACGCTGACACCTTAAATCCAGCCACACAGGCCCTACAGAACATCTGGCAGGTGGGTGGGGCTGCGTAGCTACCATCCCTCTGTTGGGAGCTGTCCCCAGCCATGGGGGTGGAGCTCCCTGGGGGGAGTGGCTGGCAGGACCATGCCTGGTTGGATGAGTTTCAGATGGTGCTGTGGGGCAAGGGGGTCCTCTGCTTCCCATTGGCTGTGGGGTCTTTGTCAGTAATGACCCCCTCTCCTTACAGAGCTTGTGTGAGGAAAGCGAGCGAGGTGGCTGCCCTGCTGGCAGAGAGGTCCCGCTCCATCATCCTGCAAGGTAGAGTAAGTCGTTCCCTTCTCTGGCCCAGGCACAGGCTGGATGCCCTGAGGCTGGGCCAGGTGTGGGGGGAGCTCCTGGGTTCAGGCTCTGTGATGCCTCCCAGCCCTGGGTACTCCCAGGAAGCACCTCGCTACCACCTGTCCTTTGCGTGAGGCAGGCTGGTCTCCCTGCCCCCACCAGCCATGGGCCATGCAAGCACTCCCCTCTAGTCCTAGGTCGTGTGGGCCCGGCTGTCGCTCTGTTGGCTAGCGATTGGCCCACCGAGGGTCTCCGTGGAGGGTCCCGCCCCAGTGCACTGGCCACTGGCAGCATTCACCGACTCGCTGCTCCCAAAGAAGCAGTGCACCCCAACTTCTCAGTTCCCGCTCCGCTTACCACGCAGCACTTAGAGCTGCTTCTGGTGAAACTGAGGCTAGCTTTACATGGCCAAGTCCAGAAATGCAAGGAGTAGCAAATGGCAACGTGGGGAAACAAGTGGCTACACCTCACAGCAGGCATTCTAGAGCGCCCCCGAATGAACAAAGTCCTCTCCTGTCTCCTAGAGCAACGCTCACCCCTTTACAGCCAGGGTCCAGCTTGGCTCCTAGGTGAAGGCCCCAGTGCTGTTTTTTTTGCATCCCCAAGATATGTCAGCCTCACCCTTTGTCAGACACCTCCCCTCCCCCCACTGTTTGTTTCCTCTTGTAGATTTCACAGTTTCTTATTTCCTCAATATGCAAATAGGTTTCCAATGTGAGGCATACAATACACAGTTGCCAAACTGCCAGGCAGGGAGATAGGTTTCTGTTACCTCCTGGTGACCTGCCTAAGTCTAAGACTTTAAGAACGTAATTTTCAGATCCCTAACGCCCTAAATATTATCCATCCATCCAGGTCGCAATTACTGTGAAGACCAGTGGGCTACTGGTTCTTGGTAGAGACCTCACATGTCACCCTTGGGTGAACTATTGTGCATATATCTGATCCCTGGGAAACCTTATGCAACCCTGTGCCCTCTGCCTGTTGGCACCAAGGGGTGCCTGGATTACAGGCTCCATGCTGGCCAATGGACGGGCTGACTGGCTCTGGGAATCGGGGACAGATAGAGGGTCATTGGGTGGGTCCCAATCCAGATCCTTGTGGGACATCACAAGAGCTACTGCCGATCAGCCTCCGCGTTGGCAGCTGCAGCAGAGAGGTCTCTGGACAGTGGAGCCATGACGCTCCTCTTGACCCCTAGCCGAGGTCCCTCACTGTCTGTACCCTTCCCCTCCTCGCAGAGTCAGACGACCGGGATCTGAACTGCCTGCTGGCCTCCCTCGTCCAGGTCCTGTCGGATCCCCACGCCCGCACCCAGTCTGGGTTCCAGAGCCTGCTGCAGAAGGAGTGGGTGGTGGCAGGGCACCCCTTCCTCCAGCGCCTCAACCTCCTCCGGGACAACGACCGCGAGGAGGTGAGTCTCGGAGCACGCGCGGCTCCGGCTTGATGCCTGGCTGCGTTGGCCAGATGGGGGGCGCTCGAGAGCGATGGGAGTTCTACCAGCCTGGTCCAGGTGGCACCGAGGTGTCGAATAAGCTCCCAGCACGTGGGCTCTGCTCCGAGCACAGCTGGCCGGGAGCGTGGCTCGACGGCCGTGCAAAACCGAGAGGGTTCCCTGGACTGACGGTTGCCTTCCCTCCTCCCCCTTGGGCCTGACTCAGAAAGTGGCTCTGATCCAAGCATTCCCAGCGTCTGCCCTACTCAAGCGCCCTGGGCTCTGGATTTCCCTCTGCCGCCAGTCCTGTCGGAATTTGTTATGGTGGGGCTGGGACCAGGGGGCTGGGTGGGAGCAAGTGGCTGTGGAGGCAGCAGCTGGGAAGGTGCGGGGATGGCAGGGTGGGGATCGGAGGTAGCTCCGGAGTCCGAACCAAACCCAAGCGACCCCTCTAGGCTTTGTCCAGTGGGAGACTTGGTTTTCTTGGCTCAGGTTCCACTGTTGTGGTGGGGACCTCTGCTGGGCAGTCTGCGAACGACACCGGTACCGGCCCGCGCGGGATTCCGGTGGGGGCAATTAGCCATTGGAGCGGCTGTTTGGAGCCTTTGAATGGGGATTGTTTGGGCTCTTGCCAAAAGACACGTTCCAGCTCAGCCGCAAGCGAATGGGCTCGGTGGAGGAGTCGCAGGGTGACGTTCTCTGGCCTGTGGCTGGGCAGAAGTCGGCTGAGATAGGAGCTGGTGAGGAAAGATGCCCTGGTGCTTCCCTGCTAGCCTGGATGCGCTGGATTCCTTGGTCCAATTCCCCGCTCTGCTGTTGGCTCCCTCTCGACCACAGTTCCTCATCCGTCCAATGGGATAATGCCCCTGCGCCACTTCCCGGGGAGCCGTGGGGATAAATGCGCTGGAGATGGCGAGACGCCCAGATGCTAAGGAGCCAGGGATGGAACACAGATCGTTTGCTCCCATGTGGGGGCCGGGCCTGAACTCGGATCCCCAGGGCAGGTTGTTCAAGCTGCCCCGGTCAATCGCAGCGTTGCCGCGAGCAGTTTGCCGGTATTTCCTTTCTGGGTAAATCTCTGCAGCGTCGCTGCACGGCTGGTCAGCAGCTGTTACTTTCCACCCCAGAGGCAGCTGCTTTTCAGTGGTGGGAGAGCGATCGCTGGGCAGTGTTGCTACAGGTTGTTTCGGGAGCTGCTCTGTCCCACCCCAGAGTTGGCTGCATTTTTGCTGTTTCCCCAGGGAGGTACTATTTTCTTTTTTCTTTCTGTCTCTTATAGTCTCCGGTGTTTCTGCTTTTCCTGGATTGCGTGTGGCAGCTGCTCCAGCAGTTCCCAGCATCCTTTGAGTTCACAGAGACCTACCTGGTGGCCCTCCATGACAGCAGCTACATACCCTTCTTCAGCACCTTCCTGTTTAACTGCCAGTGGGAGAGAGATCGCAGGAATCAGGTGGGTCCAGCACGGAGCCTCCCAGCTACAATGAAACACTCGGCTGCTCCGCAGTCACTGCCCCAAGCACTATCCTACCACGGGCGGAGAAGGGGGAAATCCGGTGCCGTGGTTAACGCACGGCCTGGGAGTGAGGACTCCTGGGTTCTATTCCCAGCTGGGAGAGTGAGGTATGGCCTAGAACAGGCAGCTGAAGGACAGGACTCCTGGGTTCTATTCCCAGTTCTGGGAGAGAGCACAGCCTAGTGGTTAGAGCAGGAGGCTGGGAGACAAGACTCCTGGGTTCTTCTATTCCTGGCTCAGTGCCTGACCTCAGGTGAATCAACGTGCTTCTTTGTGCCTCAGTTTCCCCACCCATAGAACAGGGCGGGGCTCATGCTTCTCTTCCACCTCTGTGAAGCGCTTTGAGATCCTCAATGCATAACATTCCCCTCAAAAGGCCCGCTCCTGGCCCAGCCTCAGTGGAATATGGAGTGCAGCCTCTTGTAGGGGTGGGGGGGGGGGGAGCAAAGGGATACGGATGTGCATTCGCTGTTCCTTGCGGAGTCACCTCTCACGCTCCTTGTTCATCCCCCAGCACCGTGCCTCCAACCAGATCTATGCGCCCGTCAATGGCTGGCGGGAACTCCCTCCCCTGGAGATCCTGCAGAAGGGTGGCCGCCTGGCGAAGGAGAGAGGGGGCCCCTATTTGCCCACCATCTGGGACTGGGCGCTGCGCTACACCACCCAGCAGAGGGCGCAGTTCAGAAATCCCGCCTATGCCAGGGGCAGCGGCAGCACTACCGTTCCGAATGGCAAATCTGCCCCACTAGGGGGCGACAAGGTGAGTGCGCTGGGCTCCAAACACTGGATGGGACACTAGGAGCGATTGGGGGCAGGGAGTGTTGCCTGGCGGTCACGCCATGGGGCTGTAGGAGTCAGGACAGCTGGGTTTTCTTGATGGCTGCGAGGCCTTTCTGAGCCTCAATTTAATTTTTTCTGTCATTAGTGGAGCTGGCAATAGAACCCAGGAGTCCTGAAGCCCAGTCCTCCCCTCCAGCCCCCAGTCCACACTCTCTCCTAGGCAGGTTCAGTAAAGTATCCTGCTGTGGGTGAAGCACGTTTTCCCACCCCGTTTTGCTGCTGGGTTTTACTGTCCTGGATTTCCCTCCCGCCCCCATCTCTCTCTCTCCAGCTGGAAGCTGCCCCGTCTGGGAACGGGGCCGTGTACCTGTTTGCCAAGGGGGCCCTCTCGCCGCAGACCCACCTCTTCCCCTGGAAGAACGGCTCGCTTTCCAAAAAGGGCTGGTGGCGGGCTCAGTCCTCCGAGAGCCTCAGCGAACAGGACCGGTCCTTGAGGAGCAAACCCAGCGGCTGCCCCCTGCAGCCTGAGGGGCTGCTACTTCCTGCCTCTGCGGGCCCCCTGATCCGGCTCTGGAGAAGGTGTTACCTGCGGGGGAGCCAGGAAGTTCAGGTAACGCCAGCACAGCGGGGACATTAGCAGACCGGGTGGCTGTGGGGTTAAGGCTCTGAGCTGGGACCTAGGAGCCACTTCCCTGCTCCACCACAGACTCCTTGTGCCCCCTCTTGCTATTGGGTGGAGCAGATAGAACACTGGCCTAGGACTCCGGAGATCTGGGGTCTGTTCCTGGCTCTGCCACTGACTCTCTAGGTCACCTTGGGCAAGTCATCTAGTTTGTCTGTGCCTCAGTTCCCTGTATAAAATGGAGATAATCCTGCCCAGCTTCGCAGGGGGTTGTGAGGATAAATCCATTAGTGGTTCCATGGGGTCAGATACCACGGTGATGGGTGTCCGATTAAAAGCTGCAGATTAGTAGCAAATTACTTCTCTGTCGAATCTGGGTGTGGGGACGGGCCGGGGATGGTAATGAAGATACTCTGTGTATCCCCTGTAGGTAGTTCAGTATTAATACCCCCTTGTGCAGAGGGGTAAACTGAGGCAAAGTGCAGGTGGCACAATGAGTCAGTTGCAAGAGAACCCTGGAGTCCTGATTCCTGTATTAATTCTTGTTACGATGGCGCCTGGAGAGCAGAGCCCTGTTGTGCTAGGCGCTGTACGAACAGATAATAGAGAGGGTCCCTGCAGAACAGAGCTGGGCCCAGGCTTTTAGATCCAGGGAGGCTGCAGCTGACCCAACTGAGGGGGGCATAGCTACACAAACATCAAAGAGCCCCGCATGAGAAACCTCTTTCCAGAGGGACCCATAAATAAGCGGTCGATGATGCCCTGTCACTTTCGGTTTCCTTAAAAAGATTGTGATTAGAAACAGACTTCCCCTGCACTGCCATGCGCTGGCTGTTAGCTAACTGCTGAGGTGCTCCCTCTCCCAGCCCAGCCTGCCTGAGGGCATCGAAACGTTTCCTGGGCACAGGAGTTAGAGGAAGAACGTAGCACGGTTCTCTGGGGGGCAGAGGAACGTGGCTCTGGTTTGGCCACTGCCATGGCTTAGATCTCGTTAATGAGCTCAATCCGCCTGAGCCGGAAGACTCAAAATCCCCGGCAGCTGGCCAGTGGGCTCATGCCAGGCCTGGCTGCTCCGGTGATTTGTGTAAAATACTTTTTTAGTCTGTCTGGGAAAGGCCCAGGGCTGGAACAGCTGGAGGGGCATCGGCCGAGCTGGGCGTATGGGGGGGCGGGGGGGGGGGACCGCAGGCCTGGGATAGCGTCTGATGCAGGTCAGGATAGACGGGGATAGGTGGGTCTGCACCGGGCACCCAGCCTGCGACAGGATGGAGGCGCATGAGCAGAGCTGTGTTATGTGCCCGGGTTGTTCCAGCCGGGGCTGACTCGGGTGAGGGGAGCCAGTCGGGGCCCCCCAAGCCCTTGTGCCATTCCCGAGTCTAGCTGGGGTACTGTCTCTCGCTGGCCTGGTCACCAGCTCCAGGGCCTGTGCTCCCGGTGTGGACTCAGCCAGTCCTGAGCCGCCCTGAATCTCTGTCTCTGACTCTCCCCATCAGCGCGGCCTCTTTGCCTCCACGCTCGCTGAGCTCGCGGAGGAGCTGGACCGGCTTCGAGAGCGACTGGGCGACTGACAGGCGAGGGAACCTGCTAGGGTGACTCACCGTGGCATCCCCCTGAAGGCGAAACGCCCCGAAGACTGGACAGCCTCGCGTCCCTGCTGCCACGCTGGAGATGGGAGCGCGCCCCAGGCAGAACCGGGTCTGTCCGCTGGGCCAGCGGACCAAGGGCGGAACCTGGGTTTTTAGGAATGGCTTCAACAGACTTTGGGCCTTGCTGTCCCTCCTGACGCTGGGAGCTGCCCGTCCTTCTGTGGCTGCAGGAAAGGGAACCGGGCAACCCCGTCCGTCGAAAGGGCTCGCTCCCACTCATGCAGCTCAGGGTGGTGGGTGCCCAGATCGCCCTGGCTCCTCCTAAGTGCTACCTCCTCAAAATCGGGCCCGACCCCAGAGCCCCCCCCCGGTTTTTCCCCCCCCCCCCCCCCCCCCAATCATGCTGGGTGTTTGGCCAGGGTTCGGATGGTGGGATCTGGACAGGAACCGAACAACTCCAGTGTTCTCCAGTGCTGCTCGGCAAAACCTACAGCGTAGGATTCTGTTACTGCAGGGTTCAGGGCAGGCACTCCAGGGTACTGGGTCCAACTGCTTTTGCTGCTGCTCGATCTGAGTTGCGTCTCTCTCCGTTCTCTGATCTTTCAGGCCCCTTCACCCTCCTCGCTCCCCCCAGGGGGACTTACTCAGCTGATGAGATTGGCTCATTCACGCTCCTCCAGCTGAGTAGCGTCCCCCCCCCCCCCCAGAGAGGCGGCATGTGGGTGGAAGGGCAGGCGAGGGTTAACCTGCTGCTGCCCATGCCGTGCCCATCCCCTGGATTATCGCTGGCCTCCGATTTCCAGCGCTGTCAGTCTGGCACCCGTCCCTGAGCTGCAACTCTGCAAACTCTTAACCCCCTGCCTGGATTTCCCAAGCAACCCTTGGGGGGTGGGGGTGGGAAAAGGGGGAGCAGGGGAACCCCATCCTCAGTAGATCACAGGGAGCCCGCACGAGCTCCCATCTCCAGGCGGGGCTATGCTACAAACTTGCAGCGGCGCTGTAGCGCTTCTGGTGCAGACACTCTAAGCCGACAGGAGAGAGCTCTCCCGTCAGCCGCGGGGCGGGTTAAGGTCGGTATAACGACGCTGCTCAGGGATGTGAAAAATCCACCCCCCTGAGTGACGTAGTTGGAGCGGAGTGTGTAATGTAGACCTGGCCTCTGATCCGAAAGCTGCCGTGCGGAGCCAGTGAGTCGGATGCACTTGGCGCTGTCGTGCTAGCAATGTGCTGGGGCGGGTCTTTGAGGCGGCGGGCATGTCCCGGCGACAGGTACTTACTGTGCTACCTCCAGAACTTGCTTTCTAAGCCTCGGCGTTCAGGTCTCGACTGGAGAGTCCCCGGAGGGTGGGAATGTTGGGATCTGGAGTTTAGGGACTCTGTTGGCTGAACAATATGCAACGGAGTGTGAATAGGCCTTGTTCTCACCTTTCCCAGTGCTCCTTCTACATGGAGCCTCAGCCCTGGGTTATGGGGGTGGGGGGCAGTTTGCCTGGACTGTACCCGGCCTGGAGGCCTTCAGTTTCCAGGGCTATCCCACTGGCATCTCTCTCGAGCTTGGCGGGGAGAAAAAGACGAAGGCCATCCGTCCCAGTCGTGGGCTGCTTGTGGCCTTAAGCCAGAGTTGTCGTTGCTTTTGTACTTTGAATCTGAATCGAAAAGTGAATGCTCCAGATCGTGGGCCATGCATTTCAGGGAACCGCGCTTGCAGTCTGAGCTCCAGCTTTTCAGAGGCCTAGCTCACAACCCGGTCACCCACCACTCCTTCCACTTTATAGCCAGCCTTCTTGGGCTGAGACTTTCATCTCCGAGGGGGGAGCGAGATTTGGAACCCAATCTTCTCCCTTCCCACCCTGCAGAAGTCGCATCCAATTAGTCAATTTCACCAGCCACGCTTGGGCATTAGAATCAACATTTCCATTGGCCCCAATGGGCATTGGATTAAGGCCCTTGTGAGGGGGATGGAGGAAACCCTTTGATGGGAGACTTGCTGTATCTTTCAGGTACCTACAGATGCATGATTGCTGTACCCAGATGGCATCATGCTGCTTTGTCAGTGTTTATGGACACTGGGGTTTGCACAGTTCCTGTATGCTACTTCTTTTCCGCCCTGAGATTTGAGTGCCTACTTTGTACATCTAACAACAATGAGGAATAACAAAGATTATTTTTATTGGCATTTGTAATATAATCTCTCGGGGTGATATTAGAGATGTTTGTTTTTGTTGAAAAATTTATATTTTATATTAAAAAAAAGCTCTGGTTCTAACATTAGTAACCCACAGGAAATGGGTTATTGTATAAGCTAAAGTGTTTAGACAAAACTGGACGATACATTTTTATATATGTGTGTGTTTTTCTCTCTCTCACACCCACACACAGGGATTGGAAGCCACCAAGTTCCAGGATGGATTAGAACAGTTGTACGGGTAGGGCTACCCAGTAATCCAAGTATTGCAGCACGGGTAGACATGCTGGCATGGCTAAGAGTAGCAGTGTAGATGTGGTGGCACATGTCAGTGTGGGCTGTACAGGGACCCTGGGTATGTGGGCTAGCAAGGCATCTACTTGGCAATTTTGAGCCATGCTAGTACAAGTATGTCTTCCCATGCACTAATCACACCTAGGATTGCAGGATAGATTTACCTATGCTGCATGTGTTACAGCAGAGGGTCTAATCTAGCTGTGATCTTAATTTAGGAAATTGGTACTGTTCTCTGCGAAACTGTGGAATTGTTGGTGTAAGAGTCCTAGAACTTTAGGGCTTTCAGGCCCTGGGAAAGAACCAGGACTGTCATCTGATGAGTATGAACCAAGTACTTCCTCCAGAACAGCCTCATTTCTTTTTACGTGCAAGGTTTCAAGACGGGGAGGGTCTGGACTTTCCTTGGAAGAGTCCTTTGTGATTGCTTTTCCTGCTGGTTACTCCTTTATAACAACTTGGAGGTTTTTTTGTTTTTGTTTTGTTTTTTTAAATCTTAGTGCTAATAGCACATATACATAAAAGTATTTTGGAGACCAGAACATTAGGGTAACTCTGTGCAGATCACACATTCCCCGTGGATGAGTTAAGTGGAAATCCAAATAAGGGCATTTTTTTTCTATTCTGTATATTTTTGTAGTGACGTTTCTATTTAAGAGCTCATTAAAGTGCAGTATTTTTAAATGCAGAGTGGCTGGCTGTGAGTTGAATGGTATGCTCTAGTTCAGGGGTCCCCAGTGCGGTGCCTGTGGGCGCCGCGGTGCCCGCCGGAGCATCCATGTGCTCCCGCCTACTGGGCACCAGAAAAGCAGCCGCCGAGAAGCTACAGCGTCAAGAAGCGCTACGGCCGAAATGCCGCCGAATTTCAGCGGCAACACCTCTTGATGCTGCTGCTTCACGGCGTCATTTTGGCGGCTGCTTGTCCAGCGGCCACGGTCTTTAGCGGCTAGTTGTCTGGCGCCCGCCCTACGGAAAAGGTTGGGAACCATTGCTCTAGTTAAACTAACCGTGGGGGCTAGGTGCTAGGATCATATGGGGGAAACTGAGGCATGGTGGAGTAGTGACTTGCCTAAGCCTAAACCTAAGCCAGTGGCAGGACCAGGAATAGAACCCAGATTTCTTGAGTCCTTGTCCAGGGCTCTCTCTCACTTGGCTTACAGGGAAGCAGCATGGGTCAGGTGCTAGGATGCTGACCTGTGAGGCAGGAGAGCTGGGGCCTATTTGTACCTCTGCCAATGACTTTGCACAAGATACTTCAGTGCCATGTGCCTCAGTTCCCCCATATGTAAAACAGGAATACTGATAAGGTGGTCACTCTGTAAAGCACCCCCGGGAAACCGTTACCTCCCAAAGAGCAGTACGATCCTTCCCCTAGCAGGCCTGACCCCCAAGGCACATAAGGACTCGCTCCATAACGAAGGTGCAGAAAGGGGCCCGGTTAGGCTCAGCAGGACAATAAAGCACCATGGAATAGCTGACACTGCCGGCTGCTCGTCCCCCTACTACCAGAGCTACTGGCATCGATCCTGGGGGCCTGTGTCCCGGTCAGAGCGGGATGAACCCCCTGGCACTGGGTTTTTAATTTTTCTCTCGGCGCCCCAGGTGGGAACAGGGGCATTCAGAGGCCCAAACAAGGGCCCTCCTACCACTGCCCATAGTAGGGTGACCAGATGTCCCGATTTTTGGGTCTTTTTCTTTTATAGGCTCCTATTACCCCCCACCCCCATCCCAATTTTTCACATTTGCTGTCTGGTCACCTTCGCCCATAGGCCCAGCTCCCCTGTACTAGCAGTGGGAACAGGGACCCCTATCAAACAACAGCTAGTCTCTCTCTCCCCCCCCGCCCCCCAGCATTGGGGGGGCTCTGCAGGGGGGAGCATCCACTGCAGTGGGTATGGGGGGGCTGGGCGGTGGATTTGCTAGGGGGAGCATGTCATGACATGTCATCACAAAGGTGTGAACTTTACCACAAGGGTCAAAGGGGAGCAAGCTCTGAACCCCTGGGGGCCAAGAGAGGGGATGAATTACACAGGGGGAGGGAAATAGGGCCCAAGATAGTCACTTCCGCCCATAGGCAACATGGCCACGGGTGCGTGCAAGTTGACTTCCGCCCTTAGCCGCCATGGCTCCCTCCATGCACGGCCACTTCCGGCCTCATCCAAGATGGCCGCTGCCTTCGCCGCCCCTTTGCAGCCGCGGTGGCCGGAAGTGGGGGTGTGAAAGGGCGGAAGTCGGAGGTCGCCCGCCTGGCCGGGGGGGAGGCGGGAGCGCGTTCGAGATGGCGGCGGGGCCCATCTCCGAGAGGAACCAGGGTAAATGGCGGCGGCTTCCAA